CGTCCTAATGTTTTTTTGAGCCCATGTCCTTCACTGGGCTTGGCCCGTGCTTTAGATGGCCCACAAGACTCCACGGTGGCCACAATGTAGACACGTGCTACTCAATGAGTAAGGCTGTACACTAGAATCATAATTATACACGAGGTAATAATTCAAATAAAAATTACAATATAATTTTAAAATAAAAATTATTTTCCTTTATCTTTAATTATTACTGCTCTATGCATTGGTCCTTCTCAACACCTTGAATTTGATTTTTATTCTTTGAAGATTGTGTGATAGAACGTCGTTCACCAGACTGTTGAGTGGTGATCTTGTTGAAGTCAGTTGACTTCTTCCCTTAAAATTTATTTTTTTTGATTTTTCTTTAACCAAGAGAAGTTTGGTGTAGAAAGAACCAATGCCTTAACAATACTTTAAGCATCAAAAGGTTCATCCTCGGAATCTTCTTCTTTACTTTGTGTTAGAACATTGACTTTCAGGGCTAAGACTTTGCTCCCCACATTATCAAATTAGTTAATTTCACGTACTCAGATCTCCAAGTAAGTCGTCTATGCACTAAGGATGAATTCTCATGAAGCTCTCAAGCGCGGTGGTTTTCTCAAAAAACCTCCTAGGAAGGGTTCTCATGAGTTTTTGCACTTGTATTGCCACTATGATCTCTTCACAAAGCATGACGCTTTGGTTTACGAGATGACAAAAGCGAGCATAACACATATTATAGTCTCATCTTCCTTAATCTTAATCATATCGAGTTCCGTAGTAATTCTTTGGAAGACTTCACCGCGTTGGTACTTGGTACCCTCAAAATGTCTTTCGAGAATTTTTTATGCATTTCGTGCAGTGGAATACTGAATGATCATCTTATGACGAGTTGGGTCAAACACAGACATGATAGCATAGAGAGCACAAAAGTTGGTTTCCTCTCCAAGTTTCTCATTGCCGATCCACAAATCTCTTAGCTTCTCAACCTACGTAAACATTACTTGTGAAGTACATAAGTTAAAAAACTTGGAAAAAAATCTCAAAAACCAGTTTAAGAAGAATGAGAAATGAACTAACACTGTGAAATGCGGGTCAGGTTGAACTATTTTGAAGTTGTGCAATGTGGGTCAAGTTGAGCTATTTTTATGCTAAAAGTTGTTGAAGAAAATCATTTCTCGCCTCGTCTCATCGGTAGGTTTAATAAAAACCATGAAACAAAACCTTATGATCATATCATAAGTTGAAAGAATTTTTTTTACAATTTAGTGGACTGAATCTCTCTCCATCTGCTAGTTGAATATAATGTATAGTCGTTAGAAGCCCTCAAGAAATAATCAATAAACTTCAGGATATCTTGACTGTCCCTTGAACAAAATTCAAGCAGCCATTTTCATAGTGCACAGAGCTAAAAACTAACAAGATTCCCTAATAGAAAAGGCTAATTAGTCCAAGTACACTACCCCAAGTCATAACTTAAGACAAGATATTTTATATAAATAACCAAAGTTACGAATCCAGACACGATAGATATGATAAGTAATTACATTTTTCTAGCCATGAATGATGTCGTTTTAGTCCTAAGATAACGGAGGTCGAAAGGAAGAAAAACGTTCACCATACAGTCGGAATATAAGTTTACGGAAANAAAAGCAGATATGTTTGTAGGAAACTTAATATACCAACACTTATTTTCCTAATATCATCAGTCCGTAAACTCGTGCATATGATCCAATAGGTAGTTAGCAGCCAACTCCTCATTTTTGTTGCACGCAAAGAAAACCTCGACCACAATTTCACGACCAAATCCCATTGCTTCTAGCTGCAAAAAATGCACAACAGTCAATAATCAGATTCATCTCATAAATCTTCCTCGCGTTAAAAAAGAACACGATTTACATAAAATTAGAAATATCGTAAAACTGCAAATGCACCCTTTCTATAGCTTCAAGTTCTTCGGGTGTAACTGAAACAGCCTGAGGCATCGCCCCAGCCAACTGCCCGAGCATGCTAGAGATTCTGCATGCAAATAAATAAAACGAGCATAAATTAGCACAAACCCAAAAAGCACGTGCAAAAGCATGTTCTAAAGAACAAATGTGAAGTTTTTTTATCATACGCTTCACTGCCTTCAACAGGCTCGTTGATGAGACGTAGAAAGTCTGCCTGGTGCTCTTGAATCAGTCTTACTAATTGAGGGTTTTGCTTTCCTAGTTCTTGAAGCATGGGCTGCCAGTAAAAAAAACATTTACCATTCGGGACATAGTAAGAAAACATACATTACCAAATAACTCAAAACAAGCAGAGTTATTTTACAACAGTCGATACCTGCAAGATCTGCGGGTTGTTCTGCACCATTGCTCTCAAGGTTTGGAACTGAAACAAAGTATTACCAATAGAATGATTTCACAATTGTTATATCTATCAACACATGATATAACATATATACACATACATATATATAATTGTTATAACTACCTGTGGACTAGTGCGAAGAAAATCCAGGGTATTCGCACCACCAGCATTCGCTCCTGCGTTCGGCAAACCCTGTACACAGAAGCAAATTATAAAAACCCAAATAGTTTTAGTAGACATTAAGATAAACAAAGGGGGAAACAAAAAAGAAAAACCTGAGGGAAAAGATTCAATGGGTTTGCATTCGGGCCAGCTGTAGGAGCAGGTGCTGGTTGAGCAGCTTGCTGAGGCTGAGCAGATACATTAGCATCCTGCCCGGCAGATGGAGCTTCGGCCGATTCAGGGATCCCCTGAG